ATAAATGGATATGATCAGTAATCGAAACAAACCACCCAGCAGTTTATTTTATGCACGCATCTACAGAAATATAGAAGAAAAAGCTTCTACAATAAACAGAACGAAAAAAAGATGAAATTCCGTAACGGAATGAAATTCCATAACGACTACTCTTTCCTCTTTTCATCACTTAGCAGTGAGAACAAAAAAAAGCAAATAGATATTCAAATAGCTCTCATATTTACCTACAACTTCGTCGTGAGGACTCTGGTCATAGCACATTTACATTCGAAGCATTTTTTGTTATACTGAAAACATTCGAAAATCACTTCCATTTTTGGAAATTCCGTAACAGTGAGTAATTTCAAGTTTTCTCTCTATAAATGCGAGCCAGAGACTTCAAATTTTCACCGCAGCTAGAACTTCACTAACTACACTTGTAATAAAATTTTTAACTCTGAGGCTCATCCATGTTAGAAACTAGAGGGTTCAAAATTCTAAAAAATGAAATTCCGTAACATTTGGCCAAGCCGACAAATGACTAATTGAAATTCTGTTTCTAAGTAAAATGTAAATTATATTCTATAAATTAAATTACTGTCATGTTTTCGTTCCACTTCTCTGTTTTTACTATTTTACGGACAGAAGAAATGAAATCAACCATAACTGATAATTAGCAAAAAAACTACTAATTTACCCAACACGCTTCTCAGTCAAAATCAACATTTCGATTTACAAAAAGCTATGACGCCGTTCATCTTTCTTGTAGTTCTCTCCCTTGAGTAAGTAATTTCCTGATATGGTGCATAAAAGCAACCATTTAGTGTAAAAAGGTCACAAAAATAATAATTACAGGCAAACTTCGCTAATTATTAGTTATGGTTGATTTCGTTTTTTTGTCCGTAAAGTGCTGAAAACATAGAACGAAAACATGACAGTTACATTTATTTACATTGTAATACATGCAGTTTATATTTTATAAAATATAAATTACATTTTATTTACAAATAGAATTTCAGTTAGAAATTCAATCAACTTATGTATCTTCAATATAATAAAAAGAATGAATGAAGATAGTTAAGTTCAATTAAAAAAGTAATGTCAAGTACCATCTATCATTTTATATAGTGTTACTGTTTTCTTCTTGTTTTCAGCTTTTCGCAATTCAGTTTGTTGTTCAGTTGTTTCAGCTTTTAGCAATTATAAACGAGGCTAATACTTATATCTTAGAATTTCAATTATGTATAGAATTAATAGCTTGAACTTAGGAGCTAATAATTCTATCTATTGACCTTAGCTTGGAAAATTTTTTTATTACAAAACTCAAGACAGAAGAAATAACTTTGCCAGATTGATCTGACGTGATTTAAATGATTATTATTTGACAATATGAATAACATTCTGTCGACGGCTCGGTAACATGCGCATGTTTTTAATCGCCTGTTACATCGTAAAAATCATTTTTGTTTCGTTCGAAGAACATTATGGAAAGTGGCTATTGCTGGACAAATTTGTTTGAGCATATTATTTTTTGTTTTCGTTGCTACAATTGTATTGGCTTTGATTCCGATCTTTATCCCAGATAGATCTGTGTCAATATCGACAACTTTACGGACAGGTAGATCTATATTGTGATTTGGATTTAGATTTTTAAATATGCTTTTGTTATACTTTACAGTATACACTGTTGATAACTACACTTTGCTTTATGATGACCCATCCGTTGCACCGGGTAGCTATACCGCAACGTCGGCTATGGTTCAATCAGTGCAAGGGAAGGTCTGTTTCCACGCTACATATCTATCCATGTTACTGAAAAATTTAACTTGATAATCGATAGCTAAATGAATTATTCTCTAAAGTCGGTGCGAGTGTTTTTATAATCAACGGAACTATTGTAGCGCTGAAGAGTCGACGTCGGCGTATTCTGTGAGTATATAACTACTATCACCTATCTGCCTTAAGCTTTAAGAAAACTAAAACCATCTCTCATATTATATATCTTAGTCGTCAGACAATACAAGTATATTTTTTATTAAATTTCAATGTGCTATTTCGGCAAGCATGTTTTGCTTGTGATGCTGGACGAATGCGAGCAATACGCTCAGCCCTAAGTACAACGATTACACTCCAAATCTATCAGGAGTATAGTCAATGTAACTTAATCATACAAGGTGGCAATACCGTAATAATGCAAAGTTCTTCAACCTACAACTTCGGAGTTCAAACGCACACCGGTAAAAATTACATGATTATCACGGTCTTGATGAACTAAGAAATATATGTTTTAGAATCACTAGCAAGTATTGTTCAATATACTGATCCATGTGCTTCAGTTAACGGTAAGTAGAAATCGATGAATCAATAGCAAATATGTGGATTCTTTCGAAAACACCACTCAGTACTTGTACATCCCTCGAGTACCCTTCAAGCCCTCTCACTCAACCCTACGAGTAAAGAAATGCCGTTTCACCGTCTCTTTAAGCAACTTCAACCAGCAGCACGACAGTGCCTACAGACAGTGCCCACAGCACAGTCATGACCACCAGTGCTGTCACAACATCAGCGCCTATAACAACAAGCACTATCACAACGGGAATCAGTTCAACAACCAGCACAGTCACGACTCCAACCAGTTCAACGACCAGCACTGTCATCACCAGCAGCACTATCACAACGGGAATCAGTTCAACAACCAGCACCGACCTGACTCCAACCAGTTCAATGACCAGCACTGTCATCACCAGTACGGGTTCGATAACCAGTACTGTCACAACATCAGCGCCTATAACAACCAGCACTGTCACAACGGGAATTAGTTCATCAACCAGCACAGGCATGACTCCTACCAGTTCAATAGTCAGCACTGTCATCACCAGTACGGGTTCGATAACCAGTACTGTCACAACATCAACGCCTACAATAACAAGCACTGTCACAACGGGAATTAGTTCATCAACCAGCACAATCATGACTCCTACCAGTTCAATAGTCAGCACTGTCATCACCAGTACGGGTTCGATAACCAGTACTGTCACAACATCAACGCCTACAATAACAAGCACTGTCACAACGGGAATTAGTTCATCAACCAGC